AACACTGGCCTCGTTGTCCCGTGTTCACACCCTACATGAGCCGCCGTGACTCCTTGCTCTCTTCTTGTTTGGAATCATCTCCTAAATCCCCCTTTTACGAATTGGTACTCTCTGCCACCCTGTTCACAGCTGTGACCCTTTCTCTCTCTCTCTCCTGCTTTCTGGGAAGCCTCACCAGGACAAGAGCAAAAGCTGGTTAACAATATTCATTTAATAAACAAGGAAATAGTACACATTACATAACATAAGAAAAATGAAACATTATTATGCAATACTCTATGCTGTTACAACCCAGTAGCGATCCAATATCATACCCTGGCTTCACCAACCGTCCATATCAAGTGGCTGCTCAACCCTTGGCTTGCCGCTTACTACTCCCTCACTAAATGGGAGTGAAATCTCGTCATGACAATATTATACACTCAGCCCTAAAAGTATATAAACTCAGCCTGTGGCTGAAACACCACAAACATCTGCATAAATATTCCCCAACACAAGAAGAAACCAATCTCTCACCTTACACTGCGTCTTACACGCCAATAAGCATTCAAGCACTCCCCTTATACATTCCTGTGTATCCACAATATACCTCTGGTCAGCTCCTGGAGGCTCACTACCATATATATCACTAGGTCATCCAAAATACTCAAAAGTACACTTCTGTAGTTCTCCCAAACTGCTGCACAATGAAGTCCTCTTCAAACACCAGTATTGCCTCACCACTGATTCCACGGAGACACGTGAAACTCATCCTCGCTGCTCCTTTACACTGCTTGATATCAACTCCTCACTATGGAGTTCTGCTCTACCACAGATTTCAGCATTCACTTCTCCAGGTTCAAAGTTTCCTCCATTAACTCCTTCCCTGGCCTCGAAGTTCTTCCATCAACTCCTCCCCAAACAAACCTGCAATTCCATTGCCATGTCAATAAAAATGTTTCTCTACTAAAACATAATTAAATGTATTCACAAAAAGTAAAGCTCCTCCATCCGACATCTCTTTAAAACTATTGCATCGCTGCAACGGTACTCCCCCACCCTGGGCGAGTCTATCTTCAACGTGTTGAGACATGCTGCTGGCCGCCGTCAGCCTGGGGCTTCCTCCTCTCAGTCATCCACTGACTTTCGTCGAGGGAGGACGTATCACTCCTCCCTCCAAGATGTTCTCCTATCTCGACCCTCTTATTTCAGCTTACTGCCTTAAAATATCTATACTATACTATATACATAAATACTTCCCATGATCCCTGGGCACAAAATCAAGCACTAGTGGCTAACTAACAACTGGTTAAATAGGCTTACACCCGAAATCTCTAAAGAGGCTTCAGTGAGGCGCTCACACACTGAAGCTCAACATGGCGCTCACATAGGCCGCTCACAAAAATGCTTCAGAACTGATTCACAACTCTTCTGCTCTTGATTTGAGTACATTAAGTCGTCCAATGGCTACACACATAAACACTTGGTTGAATACCTCCTCTTGAAGGAGCACACATCTAGGGGTTTTCCTCCTTTGCCAGGAGCTCAAACACAGTACAACCCTCTCTCACGACCTATGTTGCTCAAGTAAGGTCGAGATCTCTGTGAGCCTCATGTCAGCAAAGTATCGACATCTCATTTCATGCCACTTATTTATATGTTCATCCTCTGCTCATGCTTTTAAACTATTCACTGACATTTGTCAAGTATTTAATATATTTTCATATATCTATACTTCCTCTCAATCAGATCCAGATCGCCGAATAACTCTCATTGGGGTAGACTCATTCTCCAGGTTATCCTGGAGTCAAAACACCAACCAAGGGATTTCAATTTTGTTGTGGCGAATCCGGTGGCTGGATACGATGTCTCGAGGGATTCTAAATTTGTGGCGAGGGTATTATATGACTGGATGGGACACATCTAGCTGTGCTCACCCCTTGATGTGCCTGGTATTACACGTATAACAAGTGCATATATATGTAGGGTGTACCTGACTTATGGGATGTGTGTTACTGTTAGGTTCTTGCTTATAGCAAGCAATCAGTAAAACTGGGTTTGTATTAGTCAAACGTTAAGGCTGTAAAAAACAGTTATTAATAACTGTACAAAGCATCTGTATTTTTATGCAATGAATTCACTATTAATAATTCCTGTGTATGTATTCGAAATGAGCCACCGAGTATACTTCCCAATAATAAAATCAGTCCCCTAGTTTATTCGTCACAGATAATGGCCCTACAGTACTATGCATAATTTAAAATTAGTGCAAGAATCGCATTTATATTATGTGTGGGGGCTCTCTCTCACTCACTCAGTTGTACTGGAAAGTATTTATCACCATTAACTGTTATTTCATGCTTGCATTAAAATGCTTAACTACTTTCTCCTAATTTCACTAATACTAGCTAGGAATACTCACTATATATGTAATTCACACTAATCCATTGTAAGTTAAGTCTAGTTCTCTCTATTTACTCTGTATTTTTTATTCCTCTTATCTTTAATCTCTATGATATATAGTGAAATTTCCTACCTCCACCCTCCAACCTGAAAGGAACCTCCAACCTGAAAGGAACCTCCAACCTGAAAGGAACCTCCTACCTGAATAGAATTTCCTATCTGCAATAAAATCTACTGAAGAAAAAACATTACTTTCACTGAACGATTCTTTTTGAAAATTTGACCTTACAAAATATTTTGATACATGTAAAAAACATTATGATTTTCCCTTTTAACTTCATTCACTTGCAACATTTCGTTTTCTATGTTTTGCAACATGGGTCCTCTTGCACGATCTTGCCTCTGTAATATTGCTCTGCAACATTGCCACCCAAAATGGCGCACACACGGTTATAGTCATCATTTACTCTACTGAGGTGGTGGTGATTGTAGCAGCAGGTAATTGTTGTAGAGGCAGAGACTGGAGATGGTTGTTGTTTTAGGAGGAGGAGACTTGAGGTAGTAGTTGTTGTAGAGGCAGAGACTGGCGGTGGTGGTGGTTGAAATGGAGACCGTGTTGTAGTCACAAGGGTCTGTACACCTCACTTTCCATTCTAGTTACGTGACAGTGCAACTATCCTAGCTTCCTTCGTGTTAAACAGGATGCACCTGTACATAAGTTTATTTAGTTGATTTACTACACAACACCGCTTACACCGAAATAAACAGCTTGAATCTTGGACCAGTTACGTCATTCATAGCTGAGTTATCAGTAACTGCCAGCTTGGCTACTAGTATTCGTGCGTGTCAGCTTAAATGGTCTCCACGCTCTTTTAAGCTTGTAATTCTCTTTTTTGTGATCAACTAATGTATCCTGGCTAACAGCTAAACACCTACATTATAATATATTTAATCAATATAATGTTTAGGTGGTAATTTGACTTATATGCTTTGAAGGGGAACCAAACAGTGCTCTCTCTGTACTATGTAGTGGCACGTAGCATTGTAATTTACAGAATCGGCTTGTCTATTGTTGGCCCATGTCCTTATCTGGCCCATGTGCTTCTCTGCCCATGTGCTTCTCTGGCCCATGTGCTTCTCTGGACCATGTGCTTCTCTGGCCCATGTGCTTCTCTGGCCCATGTGCTTCTGGTCCCATTGCTTCTATGGCCCATGTGCTTCTCTGGACCATGGCTTCTCATGGACCATTGCTTCTCTGGCCCATGTGCTTCTCTGGTCAATGTGCTTGGCCATGCTTCTCTGGCCCATGTGCTTCTTGACCATGTGCTTCTCTGGACCATGTGCTTCTTGGCTCATGTGCTTCTCTGGTCCATGTGCTTCTCTGGCCCATGTGCTTCTCTGGCCCATGTGCTTCTCTGGCCCATGTGCTTCTCTGGACCATGTGCTTCTCTGGACCATGTGCTTCTCTGGCCCATGTGCTTCTCTGGTCCATGTGCTTCTCTGGCCCATGTGCTTCTCTGGCCCATGTGCTTCTCTGGCCCATGTGCTTCTCTGGCCCATATGACCTATAACTATACATGCTATATTCTGTTTTTTGACTGGACGTTAGTGGAGATTTTACCGTGGGTACAGTGGCGACCTTGTCAATTTCAGGTTCAACTTTCGGTCTCCGATTGTGGAAGTGGTTGGGCCACACTACTTCAAACTCGCCCTCTCGTCACAGCACCTTATTCTCGTATCCTGTCCAAGCCCTCAAAAACCGTTCTGGCTAAGCTGTTTCTCCTGATCATTACCTTTCCCGACCTAACACAATACATGGTAGAAGAAACAAGATGGAGGAGGAGAAGAGAAGGACCTGCCTCATAGACTCGAGGCAGGTCCCTGGGGTATGGGATACCACTATAAACCATCAAGCAGTATGTGACGATGTTTTGACCAATCCACACACTTGAAAATGAAGGGACGACGACGTTTCGGTCTGTCCTGGACCATTCTCAAGTCGATTGTGTCACACAATCGACTTGAGAGGGATCCAGGACGGACTGAAACGTCGTCTTCCCTTCACCTTCTAGTGTGGTCTGGTCAACAATACTTCCCTATCAACAAAAATGGCGATTTTTTTTGTTTAAGATAGCAATGAGGCAAACAAGAGAACATGGTATAGATGCAGAAAGATGGCAGATGAGGGTCAAAGATACAAGAAATGAATACTCAAGAACTAGAAGAAAGACAAAAGAAGAGTATGAAAATTACATATCATTAAAACCTGAAATGCAACAGAAACGGTGGCACAACCATATGAGAATACTAACAAATGTGTACAATAAGTCGGAGAATACAAACAATGCACAGAGAGAGACGGTCCAGAAAACATACGAATAATGCACGTAAGATACTCAGAGGCATGAACAAAGTAGCCAGAGATAAACTGCTCCAGGTGAAGTGAAACCTAACAAGATGCATCTGGTATCAATTTTAAACACAGTTAAGCCACACGGATTTATGGGAGTTCCCACTACTCCAACACTACAATGTTGGAGTAGTGAGCACTTGGACTGCACAAGAGTAAGCAGCTCCACGAACAAATATGATGAATTGATGAGAAACTATAAGTACAGATGCAGGAGAGTTGCTTCTCAACGCCCACAAGTGATATCAGGTAAAATTTTAAGGCAACCAGTCAAGCCCGTTTTGCTGGACACTCAGTGAATGTCTGTGAGCATTCCCTCACTGCTTGCTGGACACTCGCCAAATGCTGTAGATATTCCCTCTCACATACTGCTGGGCACTCCCGGCTTGCAGGGCACTAGTTATTTGCTAGAGAACATTCTCTCACTATTTTCTGGCCGGTGACCATCTTCTGGACACACTGCTTACTGGACATTGTTTCCTTAATGAACACTCACTTCTTACTGGTCGATGATTGTGTACATTGTCTTTCCGCCTGATTGACACTGCTTTCTGCACATTCCCTGATTGCAGTACAATCCCTGCTCACGGACATTAATTCACCGTCTGCTGGACTCCCATGGCATGCCGGTCACGCACTACTTGTGCAACATTCACTTGTTGTTGGATATTCATGATTTTCTGAGCATTTATGGTTTATTGGACACTCGCCCCTCGCGAGGAAGATTGAGGGTCATTGCACGAGAGGCCTACAGACGAATCCTTTTATGGGAACACTGGTGTGACTTGCCCCCGGAGTTCCTATTACAGCTTTGAGAGTACCATATTCTCTATGGAGCTCCATGAAAGCTATAGGAAGCTATCGGAAAGGGTTGATGTCTGATTGAGCACTACACAGAGATGCACCATCCAGAAATCATGATTAGTTGACCATTTCTGTGTTTTCAGAGAGAACATTGATTCTTATTATACGTGATCATATC